GTTACTGTCTTGAGCAAAGTTGTTCAGGCGACCAAGTTCTTTCAGATGGTGGAAACATTAGTTCAGAACTCTCTCACTACGCAGCGCTAGTGTGCATGTGAACTTCCTATATAAACTGTATCTCGAGAACCTGGCCATATACAACGTTGCTGTCTTGAGCAAAGTTGTTCAGATGACCAAGTCCTTTCGGATGGTGGTTATATTATTTGAGAACTCTCTCACTACGCGGTGCTAGTGTGCACATGAACTTCCTTAATATGTTATGTGTGGAAAGCTTGTCCATATAAGATGTGGCTGTGCAATGTGAGAATACGAAACTGAATAGGGATGACGTGTAGACAGGCTGTAAATCAATTTCGGACGCCATTTTTAAATCCAAGATGGCGGTCATCGATTCAAGAAAAACTGTCAAATACCCTACAGTATGGGTATTCGCGGAAAGAGAACGACGTATAGAGGCTGGAAATCGATGCCAGACACCATTTTGAAATCCAATATGGTGGCCATCACTTCAAGAAAAACTGGCAAATACCCTACAATATTGATATTTCCGGAAAGGGGACGACGAGTAGAGGCCGGAAATCGATACCAGACACCATTTTGGTATCCAAAATGGCGGCCATCACTTCAAGAAAAACTGGCAAATACCCTACAATATTGATATTTCCGGAAAGGGGACGACGAGTAGAGGCCGGAAATGGTGTAACATTTCAAGTTTTATCGAGGTTTTAAAGCATTCTACAAGACTAAATAATGGTCTACAGAACCTTCATAAAACCCAAATTGTTACTTGGGATGGGAGACACGCTAAAGGGGCAATTTAAATTTTTTTTAATCAGCAACTTTGCTCATAAACGGCGCCGGTGGTGTAGTGGTAAGCGTGATTACCTCTCACCCCAGAAGGCCTGGGTTCAATCCCAGTCGGCGCCGCCGGGATGTTCTGAGGCATAACATCTCTGATCACGCCTTCCTTCGGATGGGAAGTAAAGCCGTTGGTCCCCGGTTCATGAGTTGATGGGTCGATAGGTAGGGTCCAGGTGTGGGAGCTGCCTTCCTGGCACGTCGGTAGCATTGGTGCTCAGCACGGAAAACAAGATCGACGGAAAAAACAAACCAAAGGAAAAAAAAAAAAAAAACTTTGCTCATAACTTATTGCATAAATAACAAATAAATTTTTTAGGTCTTGAAAAAAAGGTAGATCACGAATCATTAAAAAACTTATTTCCATAAATTGTAACAGATTTTCTGAGCTCTAAAATTAAGTTCATATTTTGAAGTTGGAAATCTTGAAAGATTTCCAAGGCCTCATCGAGACTTACGAAGTTTTCCGAGCTACAGAATCATGAAACTTATCCAAAGGCTGCTATGCTGAACGCCTTTTGAAAAGTGAAATATTGTAGTAAGAAATTCCTTTAGAAACCTTGAGCTTGAAAACAAAATTGGGACCTGTCTTGAACTTGGATGAAATCAAAGCAAAAAAAATAAAATGGAATTCCGATGAAACTTGAAAGTAATTCAGAAAAGAATTTGAAAGGCTTTGTGAGGGGCAATTTTAAGATAGTGATAAGTAGAATTACATAGCAATTCTGAAGAGAATTCCGAAGGGATTGTGCGGAAATGTCCAGTAAAATTTTAAAGAATTTTTGAGAAGAACTCACAGAAAATTCAGAGGATAGTTACAATAAATATCCAAAACTCCACAACTCGTAGTACATTCTGTGCCATGCTGACCAATACTTCTTAGGAATCCTGACATTAATTTCCAAAGAATTGTGATAAGAATTCAAAAGCAATGTTAGTTAGTTAATTCAATTCCAAAAGAATCTTAACAAGAATTGAATATTTTCGACAGCGCCAAGGAGAGGTTATTTAGCAGAAGTTTTGAGTTAAATTTCATGAAAGTCAAAACTCACAACATCTAAGGATAGTGTATGGAAGTTTTGAGGAGAATTCAATAGAATGTATGAATATTAATTTTGAGGATGAAAAAGAAGAAGTTCCAAAAGCACTTTGATATGAAATCCAAGGGAATCTTATTTTGATAAAAGCTAGTTTCATACATTCCACAGACTGAATGCGTTCTGCTTCCCGTACAAACTCACTCGGTGGACTGCATGTAGGCCACGGGTCATTGGATGAACACCACTGAACACAGCCTGGAGACGTACCTACTCCAATTCACATGAAAATGTGAGTACGGTTTTTTCCGTGTTGGGTATATTCATCACTGCGACCATTACTTTGACCAGCATTTCAAATATCAAAGAGTTCTGCCAGCCTCTAATTCAGAAAAATATGTCTTTTATTGAAGCATAGAGTATAGCAGGTGTTCAGAGTCTTCCTTTTCCATGCCACAGAAGTGGCAAATATCTTCTTGAAGTTTTCCTATTAACTTCAAGTGATATTTACATGGACAATGTCCTGTTAACAAACCAGTACAGACACTGAGATCTTTCTTTGATAATTCAATAATTCTGCTAGTCATTGAAATGTTCGGAATTATGGACCTTTTCAACTGCCTAGCAATGGAGGTGTTGTTACAGTTGGTCTCCACTTTCATTTTTTTCTCATTTCTTGATCTCTGTTTTAAGAGAACAAGCAGAAACTCCGCAGAATGGTTTTGGTCCTATGAATTGCTGAGATGATCCTAGCCTAGATTTTAAGGCATTTAACGTTGAACCCTTAAAGCGCTCCTTTCAGCTTCTAATTGGATAAATTGATGAAATGGAAGTAGCATCTAGTGCCATACTTGGTGTACTGTTCATTGCACCCGTTATTGAGATAGTAGCAAGTCTTTGCAGTCTCTCCAGCTTCTTCAGAGCTGATTTTTCATTAGTTTTCGGCCACCAAACCCATAATGCGTAGTTTTTTTCCGATGTTTCTGAATCATCTTACCCCTTAAATGCTGCACAGTAGGTCTAGCCGTTTTGATATATTTTGCGCTTCTATGATGTTGAACATATACCAAGAAGATTAGATTAGACAGAACCAATAATTCGTAGGATATTCTGGATCTTCTTTCTTCTTCTTATTCGCAATTCAAAGTTATTACTTAGTGCATATTAGCTTTATGCGTGCTCTTAACTTAGTGCTCTAAATGCACTTCAACAGCTAATAATTGAGAGCTTTCGATGCGAATATCAATGCATGAATTTGTATATTGTGTGGCAAGCACAATGATACCCTATGCCCAGGGAAGTCGAAAAAATTCACCTCGACCGGACCGGGAATCGAACCCGCCGCCTCCGGCTTGGTAATACCGAGCCTTTACTGACTAGGCTATGAGGCCTTGCAATCGTCAAATAAATCGGATCACCAAAAGTGTTTGGTAGGACAGCCTGCTCAATATGTGAATTCCAGTTAAGCTAACTGTCAATAATTACTCGCAGGCTGGGCGTGGAAGTTCGAAAGATGTTCCTTTAAACTTTAAGTTATTTATGGACAATTTTCTATTCCGTGTGAACGGTACAATAGTCGTTATAGACGGGTTTATATTCAACCCTTCTTTGGCGCACCACGACGAAGCATAATTTGAAGCAGTTTGCATTCTATTTGAAATGACACTGTCAAATTTCCATGTGCTATCATGACTATATCACAAGCCAAGCCAATAATCTCGAAGCCCTTTGCTTCTAAGTTTTTGAGAAGTTCGTCAACACCACAATAGAGATGAAAGCACACCTCCTTGAGGACATCCTTTTAGAGCTGTAACGGTTGTGGATGAGTATCTAAGGTTTGCTGAGATTTATCTTTTAGAAAGTATTTCATTAATCCACTTAAGGGTGCTTTGGTTGCTTACTCTTTAGCATAATGGATGATAAACTGGTCGGCCTGAAGCATTTAGATGAATTTTTAACATTTTTATTAGCCTTAGGAACCACTTTTACTTGACGCCAGTTTATCGAAGTATAACTTAATCTTAATATGTGAGAATGGGTGTCAAAGTTCCTTTTCCTTTCTGAAGTAATACTGGAAAAATTCCATCCCTACCTGGTTATTTGAAAAGTTCAAAAGAATCAATCGCCCAATAGACTCATTTTTTGTTAAAATTCTATTTGTCAGATTATGAGCGTCTTTCCGGGCAATATCATTGTTGTCTGGAGTTCCGTCCTCTGTTTTCAGAGCCAGTTTGCACTTCACGTGTAGTCTAGTTTTCAATTTATGTTCGTTACATGGAAAGTGTGTTTTCATCATTATTTCAATGTTTCTTCCCCAGGAATAGTAAAAGTGCCGTCCTCATTCTTTAAGAGTTCCAAAGACATTTGATTGATCTTTGAAATAAACTTTTTTTCAATCTGGCAGCAGTTCCTTTGCAGCACAGCTATCGTAATAAACTTGTTGGAGCAAGCTTGAAAGCTGTTGAGAATTTTTGAACACCCTCTCAATTTATTGACTCCAACTATATGTTTTGAGTTGGATTGCTCCCAGTTAGTTATTCTGGGATTTTTTATAGTTTCGATTTTTCGATTAACTTCATAATGAAATCTGATTTGCTTTTGATTGGATTAAGATACTTCATCCGATACGGGCCAATTTTGTCAGAAATAGTTTGACAACATAGTGATAAATCAAGAACTTCTTGCCTAATTGCATTCAAAAAAAAAGTTGGATTATCCCTCTTATTACATAAATCTACATGAATACGGTAGCTTGTTTCGGGTCCTCAGGGTCAATTTCATCATCACAAGTTGCCAAGCATAACTAGGAATGACCAGATGATTCTGAAGGAGAGAAATCCACTAACAACTGCTGTGAAAAATCTGATCTATGATAAAAGCAAACAACTCTAGTCATCAAAATCAGGCAACCCCTTGCCTCAAACAAGTCCCATTACATCTAATCTAGCCAAAAAAAAACTTAAACCACCGTCATAAAAATTTACGATGCCCGCTTGTGCTGAAAACACATAACAAACACACTGAAATTTTACAGCACCATTCGTCTCCTGCCAGAAAATGCCTATCATTTCCGTTTCTGTTTTTCTCCTTCCGCCCAAACAGAGCAACAACCGGAGCAACTGAAAGAGCCGAGCCACAACAGCACCAGCAGCCATCGTCGTACGGGAGCCAACGCCATCAACAACAACAACAACAACAACGCCTGCTCTCTGTGAAACTACCCGGAGTAGCAAATTCCCTGCCCGAAAACTTGAGCCAAGACCACCTGTGGAGTCGCTGCTGTCTGTCGCTTCATGGCGTTGAGTGGGTTGGTGGCAGCAGCCAACGCCAGCAAGAAATGTGTAGAATGCTAAATTTTATTACTCTTCCCAGACTGCCCCTCCACCCCCCTAGCCATGCCGGAGTGGCGCGGTTCACGGGGACCCGGAGTCATGAATGTTGAATTGGTAATAACTTCTAGTGCTTCATCTTTTTCCGCGTTCTTCGACCTTCGATGGGATTAGAAAAGTCATCGTAAGTGCGGCACCACGCCAAGTCACGTCGCTGCCGCCGCCACCGCCGCCGCCACTGCTGCTGCCTCGATTGGGTAGGTAGGTATGTATGTATTGTACAGTTTTCAAAAGTGATAAACTAACGAACGGAATCGGAAAAGGATTTTCCAACGCACGCAATGTCGGACGGGATTTGAAAGTGAGAAATTCGTGTGGAGTATCATGTTGTTTAGAGTAGGTTAGTAGATTTTACTTAATTGCGATTAAACGTACAAGGAAGCAAACGTGTCATTAAGGAAGTTATCACTGTGTAATTAGTGAGTAATTTGTGTAAAAACGTGTAAATAGGACCTACCGAAGCTGTTATGAGTTAAGGGTGTTATAAAGTTTACCGCGATAAATCGCGAACATTAATGAATACTCATGTGGCAGTGACACTCATAAACGATAATGAGGACACACACAGATATCAAAACCATAAAAAAAAACGATGCAATAATGTCAAACGAGTCCTTGCTGAAAACCAACTAAAAAGATACATGATGAAATCACAAACGATAACGACTCATTAGGAAAAAAATCCTACTAATTCGGTACGAGGTGATCACCTTAAAAAAAAAACGAACGAAAACGTCGTCATCATTGACGAGGACGACGACGACGACGACGACGACGACGACGGCGACGACGACGGCGACGACGACGGCGCCGTGTAGTAAATAGCGGAAATTGAATTTAAAGTGGATGAACATTTTCCCCCGTGGAGCACACTCACTTCTATCGTTTCAGTTGGATGAGAACTTGGATGTTGCTATATGGGTACTAGCGAAGACAACAAATCAAGAAGACTGGTAACTTTGCCGGAATCCAAGCGACAGATAAAGTAGCGCTGCGCTTGAGTGAAGGTGGAAACAACGCATAGAAAAATGAGCAAATACACAAACCCTTCTTCTGAGGATGTAATCTTTCCTATCAAATTCGTTCGAAACATTTACCTTTGAGCGGCAGATGACGCGATTGTACCTGTCTCATAGCGTTTGTATGAGAAAATGGAAGAGTTGTCAGTCTTCATGATTTGTTGTCTTTGGTACTAGGTAGGTACTGCTCTGCTAGCTGCGATGGGACCGGTAAAGCTGCTCCGACGCGCCGGAGTGTTTTGTATACCTATGGGTAGCATTAATTTCATTTTTGGAAGGAGCAGGAGGTTGTAGGTGGTTCTACCAGTCAGATAGAACTTTGCGAGAATATGTTGCGTATATGGCTGGTTGGAACGATTAGAACGAATGTATTAAAAAAAAAAAACAAATACATTTTCAAAGTGTTGTCACTCGGTGGCGTTGCAAACGTCCCTTTAACATAATAATAATTTATATACTCAATAACTTTGTCGAAGACTGGAAGTTGATGCAAGTTGGGCCTGTATTTTAGCATTTTATTGAAGCAATGTCTGACTGATTAAAAAAAGAAAAAGAAAAAGAATAACAATAAAAATCAGTCAGACATCGCTTCAATAAAATGCTAATAAATGTTCAGCACCAACTTGGATCGTCTTCCGGTCGACAAAGTCGTTGAATATCTTCCTTCGGAAGGGAAGTAAAGCCGTTGGTCCCGACCCATGTGTGTTTGAATAGGTGCGATATCCTACGCAGGTGTGGAAGCTGCCTTTCTGCACATTCGATTGCCGTCAATGGATGGCAATCGATGTCCGTCGGTGATTGGCACTAGATTGCGGAACAGAGACCGACGTTAAATAAAGGAAAGAAAAAGGAAAGCCAAAGTCGTTGAGCATATCATTTTCTATTAATTTGTTGAATTTGGTGATGTTTGGGTCAGTTCAATGCCACCAAGCGACACAATTTTGAAAAAAAATGTTTCTTTAGTCCATTTAAAATTCAACTCAAAAAAATAACTTCAAATTGGCATCTGAAGCTAGAAAAATTGCAGTTCTTTTTAATAAAAATAACATTTAAGTAAAAAAAATCTCAATGAATTTCATTAAAATCACCAACTCTCCACAATTCTGTGCTCTATAAGTAAATATTTTCTATAAATCGATTGATTCGCTTAATTATTCCCTGTACCTGTATTTGAGTTCTGTTTGCTCATAAATTGCAAAAAAATTAGGAACTCAGCGATGAGTAAATTTGCCTCATGTTTTTCCAGGTTTTTCCAGGAATAAATTCTCGAATATGAGGAAAGTAAAGATGGATTCTCTCAATCTATTGGAACTACTCCAAGACTGTCTAAAATTTTCGTCAATTTTCCTCATTTTCTGGCATATTTTTTTAAGTTTTCCACAGGAAACCATTATGCAAATTTACCCATCGCTTTTGACGTAGACTACCACCTCTATTCCCGTTTTCGTACGAATCGTTCGTTCGTACGAACGACTCGATTCGAACGATTTCGAAAACGGCATTCTGGTTTTCGTACGAACCCGTTCGAACGCAAGCTTTTTCGAAAATAAACAGTGTTAGTGGTACCAGATGCACTTTGACATTTCTTAACAATTCGAAGCATAGACCGCGCACGAAATTGACATTTTTCGGTCAAGTGGACTGTCAAACGGTGTCAACAAAACAATAACATTGTTGAAATTTTTGGTTGAAAATTTGCGGAAACGTTCCTTTTGACCGATAATGCCATTTTGCATCTTAATATCACCAATTTTAATCCTGCCTTATTTTTGAAAAGGGGCTATATGAACATATCAAGCTTATATTCAGAAAACAATTTATTCGAATTACTGGGCAATATTGCAGATAATGGATGAGACTATTTGAAAAGAATATGCACCCTAAAAATACCCAACTTTTTTTTTTAAATTTCAAATAAAATCTTAAAAACATTTTTTTCTTAAAAAAGGATTTTTATTTTTTTTTATTTGTTGATATGTTTTAGGGGACAACAAATTTCATCTTCTGCACTATAGGTCAAGGTGGAGAAATAATGGGTAAAAAAGTTCTAATTTAAAAAAACTCAAGTTTTTGGAAAAATATCCAAAACTTGGTCCAATTACTGTTTTGACTTTATATAATGAAAGTACACCAAATTTACAATAAAAAAGCACCAAAGTAAAAAAAATCTAAGTCACACCCGTCTTCGAGATGTAGCGGTTTAAAAGTAGATATTATATGTTGGTAGTTTTTTGCCATTTTTAAATGTATTTCACGGTTCTATAGTTCTGACAATAATTTTTTTGGAAAGATCAGAAAATTTTACATTAAAAATGCTCTTGAGGGCTCATCAATATATTAAATAAAAAATAAGAAAATGCGACCTTTTTTCATGTAACTCATAGGTATACACTTGTTGCTAAAATGCTAACATGCTACCTTTTGCTAAGCAATTCATGGTACCAAGTGGGTTGGTTTTGAATTACCTACGTCCATATATATTGCTATAGTACGGTTAATAGGGACCGCACTATGGGAACCGGCATTAACGAATACACGTAGCATATGGGATTAGAGCTAATTGGGTCCAAACACTTATTGTCGGGCAATTTTAAGAGATAACTTCCTGATGTCTTCTGTGAAGTTGTTAAGCAGAAAGTTGGCCACCTTTTGGGACTATTCAGTTTCCGGTAGGACACAAGTCTGATCCTGTGGATGATCCGGAATATCCGTAAAAGTGGTCAGTTCATGAAACTGATCCTAGAACTCCGCGTTTTTTAGAAACCACTCATAAACGTCTTATCAGAATGAATTTGGAGTTGTGACCTTAATTTGGACTCTGGGGACTACATGATGGTCCACCGAAATAACCGGAACATCCGTAAAAGTGGTCAATTCATTAAACTGATCCTAGAGCTCTACGGATTTTTCGGAACCACTGATAAACGTCTTGTCGGAATGTATTCGGAATTGTGTTCAGAATAAAGAATATGGAGACTACAGGATGGTCCACCGGAAGATCCGGAACATCCCTAAAAGTGCTCAATTCATGAAATTGATCCTTGAGCTCCACGATTTTTTAAAAAGCACTCATAGACATCTTATTACAATAAAATCGGAGTTTTGACCAGACAGTTTATACTGGGGACCACAGGATGGTCCATTAAAAGATTCGGAAGGTCATTGCAAGTGTTTAATTCATGAAACTGATCTTAGAGCTCCATGGTTGTTGTTTTTTCAAAACCACTCATAAATTAATATTAATAATAACTCAATAAGACGATGTTTTCAAATGGCTTATTGATTAAATTTTGATGCGATGAATTAAAAATATAAACATTGAAGCAAGCCCATCGTTAACTTGTAACTCCAATGAAACATCTCCAAGAAGTCAAAGGAAATAAGTTCATGAAATCCAAGGAATAATATTCAAAAATTCCGTTAAAAGTGTCTAGAAGTTATTAATTACTTAAATACCACCTAGAAATCATCCATGATAATAAAAAAAAAAAATGTGTCTATGAGCAGTTCTAAAAAACCATAGAGTGCTTAGATCAGTTTTTTTTACCTATCCACTTTAATGGATGTTCCGGATATTCCGAAGGACCATCCAATAGACCCTGGGTTCCATTTTCCAGTCACAACTCCGAGTTCATTCTGATGAGTTGTCTATTATTTTCCAGAGGAGCGTTCATGGTCTCCAGGGTCTGTTTTCCGATCATAACTCCGAATTCATAATTATAAGACGTCTATGAGAGCTTACGAAAAAAAAACGGAATTCTTGGATCAGTTCCATGGATTGAGCCTTTTTACGGATGTTTCGGATCTTTCGGAAGACCATCCACTGCACAATGATCTCAAAGCCGTATTTAGGAAGACAAAAATGCTTGCGCCCAAACCGTTTTAGGTATATAGTGTCTTCGGGAAAGTTTCTTCATATTGTTTGGCCGATCTTTTTATGTTAGTGAAATTAGGGTGGTGCACAAAATTGGAGATTTGAAAATACATAACTATTTGAGATAGACTAATGCAATTTTCTAAAAGTT